GGCATGCGCCTGTAGTCCCAGCTACTTGGGGGGCTGAAGCAGGAGGATCACTTGAACCCGGGAGGTCAAGGCTGCAGTGAGCCAAGATGGAGTTACTATACTCCAGCTTGGGTGACAAAGTGAGACTCTGTCTCAAAAAAAAAAAAAAGTGTCATAGTAAACTTCCACTCCTCTATCCCAGGCCTAAAACTGACATTTTCTCCACTTAGTCCCTTTGCCCAAAGTTTGCTTATTAAGGAAAATCCATGGGACCAAAAAATGCTATTTAGAACAAAAGCCAAGTATACATTTGAATCCTGTCTTCAGCTTCCTGGATCCACATTCTTTCTTATACTATCTTGGTTGGCAAGGTGATTTGGGTGATAGTGGTGGTGGCTTTAGATCCAGGCTTTATTTTTTCACGTCTTCCCTTTGATATGTGTTTTTGATGACATCTTTGGTCTGAGAATTTTTGCCATTGATCTTAACCTTACAACTGCAACCATGTGCTTTCAGAGTTTCCTTCTCTATCTACTTTGCTTACTAATGTAACCTTCATTAAATTAATTTGGTATTCAAAACCCTGTGCCTCAACCAGTTTGATATACCAGGGTTCATTACAGTGGAAAGCAAGCATGCAGAGGTGGGCTTGGGGCCCATCTAAGGCTTCACACCTCCTCCATGCTAAGCCAGTATGCATGAGGGGATCTTCAGCACCTCTTGCGAGGTAGAGTCCAGGTACATTATATCTCCAGTGTCACTGCCTTCATGGGCATGGTGTGGCAGTGCCTGTAAAAAGCACGGTGGCATTTTGTGTGTGCTTGTTTTTTTATTTATGCGATCTCTTCCTCAACTAAAACAAAATGCTAGGTAATGAGGAAAAGTGACTTAGGTTAATGGTATTTTTATTACCTGAAAGCCTGTAGAAATGCTATTATATTTGGAAACTTTAAACATGATCTGTGTTGGAATTGGTGGTCATGTTATACTAGTTTGTAAGTATTGTCCATAGTGATGATCAGGTCTTATTTTAAATTAGTATGAGATTTAAGCCCACTTTGATTAAGTGTGGAACTGCCCGTCTACCAAGAAGATTAATAATGTACAATTGCCTGAAAAAATGCTCCTTGATCTTGTAATACAAGCAATCTTCACTAACAATTTTTTTATTAAGTTACTTTTAGGTACTTGTTTTGACGAGGTGTTGATCATATCGTGTTTTTTTTTTTTTTTTTTTTTTTTTTTGCAGTATTATTCTGTTGTCCAGGCTGGAGTGCAGTGGTGTGATCTCAGCTCGCTCACTGCAACTTCTGCCCCCTGGGTTAAAGCAATTCTCGTGCCTTGGCCTCCCATGTAGCTGGGACTACAGGTGTGCACCACTACGCCTGGCTAATTTTTTGTATTTTTAGTAGAGGCAAGGTCTCGCCATGTGGCCAGGCTGGTCTCGAACTCCTGAGCTCAAGTGATCTGCCTGCCTTGGCCTCACAAAGTGCTAGGATTACAGGCATGAGCCACTGCGCCCAGCCTGATTATATCATTATTTAGATGCACTCTCAAATTTTACCCAAAAGTGAGCTTATTAAATAAAGCACTCTCAAAAACTGTTGTTTCCTTGCACAATAGAGAATCAAGGATGTTATAGTGACTACAATAAGGTCCTAGTGATACTTAGGAGACTAAAACTTGTCTGACATGTATGCATGGGAAATGTTTTAAGTACTAAGGCATTGCTAATATCAATCAACACTGAAACTTTAAAAATGTATAAATAATTCCAGTTTTCCACAAGTAGTAAAACATTTATAACAATTATGGATGCCTTTTCCATTAGCTATTTGCAATGCTGTTAAAATAGACTCTTGAAAAGTCATAAATTCCATTCCTATAATGTAATGTTATCTGCCTTCATCATTAGGTGTTCCACCAGGTCCTGCCTATGGGAAGCTGAAAAATGGAATTTCTGTTGTTCTGGAAAATGGGGTTACAATTTCTCCCCAAGATGTCTTAAAAAAGCCTATTGTTGGAAGAAAAATCTGCATATTGGGTGACTGCTCTGGGGTTGTGGGTGATGGAGGAGTAAAGCTGTGTTTTGAAGCAGACCTGTTGATCCACGAAGCGACCCTGGATGATGCCCAGATGGACAAAGCAAAGGAGCACGGCCACAGCACACCACAGATGGCAGCCACATTTGCAAAGTTGTGCCGTGCAAAGAGGCTGGTTCTGACTCACTTCAGTCAGAGGTACAAACCAGTTGCCTTGGCCAGAGAAGGAGAAACAGATGGCATTGCAGAACTAAAAAAGCAAGCTGAATCAGTGTTAGATCTCCAAGAAGTGACTCTAGCAGAAGATTTTATGGTGATAAGCATTCCAATGAAGAAATGAAACCAGTGTTCCTGGGTGCATACTGACATGTCTGTGAATATGTTACTGAACCTACAGTCCAGTTTTTTATTTCTTGTTTTAGTCTGAGATTATTTGGGCCTTAATAATCCTAAAAAGAAGGGAGCTGCATTGATGAATTGGCTCAGTATTTAAAGGGAGCAAGCTTTTTGATAATAAATCTTTTTAAGAGAAAAAAAACCCCAGCATCCTTTTTAAAGTCCAGATTTGACAAAATGATAGACTATTCAGGTATACGTCTCATTTTGTGCTGCTACCACAGATAGCCAATATTCCATGCAGTCCTGGGTTTAGCTTCTGCCCAGCTTTATTGCTGCTGTTGGCAAAGAGCACAGGACTCAGCCCTCGTGGCTAAAAATGGTATTTTGGCAGTTTGTATTGAATCTGTTTGTGTTATTAACAGAATAAGGAGAAATGTCATGAAACGCTGGACACGCAGGATTGACGATAGCATGACCATAGCTTTGCTGGAATACTGAATGCAGGGTTTGGCTAGGTGTTTATTTTCACATTTTATTGAACTTTCTGTTTGACTCTTAACCCATAATTCTCAGCTTGGGTGACACTGCTCCTCTGGAAGCAGGTTTGAAATTATGGGGATGTTTTCTTGTCACAGTGACTGAGTATGGTGGGGGTGGGTGGTGGTGGTGGTGGTAGTGGTGGTAATGGTGGTACTACTGCTACTGGTATTTAGTCAGCAGGGATCAGGGATGCTAGATGTCCTGCAAAGTTTTGGTCAGTAATGTACAATAAAGAATCATCTCACCCTGAAATGCAAATTGCAGACCCATTGAGATACACAGCAAGTTAAAGTTTATACTCTTGATGTGGATATAGTTTACCAAAATTAGTGACATAATGAGTCAAATTACTAGGTAAGTCAAATCCGAAAGAGTGAATATGTTAGAATTGCAATGTCATACCAAATAACATTCAAAAGAAATGAGCCATCAAGTGAAGCTTATGAACCTGGAGGTAAAAAATGCTTATCTATTAAACTGATTTCTTTTTTTTTTTTTTTTTTTTTTGAGACGGAGTCTCGCTTTGTAGCCCAGGCTGGAGTGCAGTGGCCGGATCTCAGCTCACTGCAAGCTCCGCCTCCCGGGTTCACGCCATTCTCCGGCCTCAGCCTCCTGAGTAGCTGGGACTACAGGCGCCCGCCACCTCGCCCGGTTAGTTTTTTGTATTTCTTAGTAGAGACGGGGTTTCACCGTGTTAGCCAGGATGGTCTCGATCTCCTGACCTCGTGATCCACCCGTCTCGGCCTCCCAAAGTGCTGGGATTACAGGCTTGAGCCACCGCGCCCGGCTAAACTAAGGTTTCATTTATGTGTCCCTATTAGTAAACATTATTTCCCCAACAGTGTTTCTTAAAACATGCTCCATGGCTAGTCTTGAGTGCTGATTCACTCAAAGGGGCTCCTCAGTCAAATCAGTTTGGGAAACACTTTATTGCTGTCTGTCCTTCTAGGAGTGGTGTAGTGCCCATCAACATATTAAAAACAGTATTGCTTCAAATGATCGTAAACCAGTGTTGGATGCCAGAAAGACCTGATCCTACAGTCCCGTTCTGTGACTTATGGTGGTACCTCTGTGTGGTCTGGAGCAGGTAACTCACTCTCTGAGTTTCTTCAGCTTGTTCATTTCAAAAATGGGAAAAACAGTAAGACCCATGTCATAGATTGTTAAACAAGACAACATATATAAGGGGCATAGCACATTGCTTAAATGTGTTGAGAAATCCTGCAGTACAGAGGCCTGTCAGCTCTATTGAACCCCTTTCTCAGTCCTATTTCACCAGGTACTACCAATTAACATCTCAGGAACCTGGAGAGCTTTACAGCACACATATTTAGAAACACTGTTGTAGTACTTACTGTTCGATTCCTCTGGGTTCTGGGGCTTCTCTGGCCAAAATTTTTGACTCCTGGCTAGTTGTGGAGACTCCAAAGTGGTGATGATCGGCTGGGGGCAGTGGTTCGTGCCTGTAATCCCAGCACTCGGAGGCAGGCGGATTGCTTGAGCCCAGGAGTTGCAGACCAGCCTGCGCAAATGGTGAAACCCCATCATTACAAAAAATACAAAACTTAGCCAGGCATGGTGGTGTGCCTGTGGTCCCAGCTACTCAGGAGGCCAAGGTGGGAGCCTGGGGAGGTTGAGGCTGCAGTAAGCCATGATCGTGCTATCGCAGTAAGCCATGATCATGCTATCGTACTCCAGCCTGAGCAACAGAGCAAGACCCTCTCTCAAAAAAGAAAAGAAAAAAGCAATGATCAAGATAGGTCTGGTTACTTAAGATATGATCATCCTGATGTAGTCTCTAGAATGGTCTGTCTTACTGTAGACTCTGCCCCCAGAAAATGCCAAATTTTGATCATGCATAAAGCATGTCATGGTTTCTAAATTCAATTCAAATAAGCATTAGACATTTAATATGTACCCAAACTTGTGCAAGAGGCTAGGACTAGAATGGCTCTAGGACTAGAATGGCTTAGATGAGTATCTCTAATGCACGAAGCCCCTGAAGATAGAGATTATGTCTTAGTCACCGCCACATCCTTAGAAATGCCTACCTAGAGCTGAGTGCAGCGGTGTGTGCCTGTAGTCCCAGCTACTCAGGAGGCTGAGGTGGGCGGATCACTTGAGCCTAGGGGTTTAAGTCCGTAGCGATATGGCAAGACTCCATCTTGGCTGGGAGCAGTGGCTCACACCTGTAATCCCAACACTTAGGGAGGCCGAGGTGGATGGATTGCTTGAGGCTGGGAGTTTGAGACCAGCCTGGGCAACGTGGCTAAACCCCGTCTCTACTAAAATTACAAAAATTAGCTGGGCATGGTGGTGCACATCTGTAATCCCAGCTACTCGGGAGGCTGAGGCACAAGAATTGCTTGAACCCAGGAAGTGGAGGTTGCAGTGAGCTGAGATCACGTCACTGCACTCCACCCCCTGCCAAAAAAAAAATGCCTACTTACAGTAAGTACTCAGAAATGCTTTAAGTTCAGTAATGAAACTAGCCCATTTCATTGCAGAACTTACCAGAAAGAATTTAAACCACCGGTTTGGTGGTACCTCATTCACTGTGTACTAAATAAGTGCCAGACTTTATTGCATTGGTAGTACATAAATGAATAGACAAGTGGCAAAATTCCAGCCCTAAGCGCACAGCCTAGTGAAAGAGACCAGTAGATAAAAGTAAATCTGTAGTTGCTTCACATGTTCTAATCTTGTAGCCTGGGCACTCGGATTTTGCTGTTCCTGAGCATTACTTGGTAGCTGACTTGAGCCATGCCCTTAGAATCAGGCTCTATAAATACGTATGGGCTAAGCCCTCAGAGGCCATGGGAATGTGGAAACGATATGTTGGGTCAAGTGTAGAGTATCATTCCATGATGATAACTTTTTCTAGACCCTCTTCCGGGCTAAAATTTGTTTTCAATGATAGGGACATTCTAAGAATTTGTGGAGCTAGAATTAAGAAAGAAGTTTATATTAGACTTCTCAGAACCTGTAATCTACCCAAGGATTTGACTTTTAAGTGGGGAGGGTGACCGTAATATGCATTGTGCCCCAAATTTACTTGATTACTGAATCCTCTTTTTGCCAAGGAAGATGTTGGAACTTTAGAACTTTAGAAATGCCATCCTCCATATGTCGCAAAATTATTCTATTTATATTTTTTACCTGCACAATTTACTGAGGTAATGATTTCCATGTCTACACTTAATATACTACTTCCTTTGTCCTAAACTGAGTCAATTGTGAGGAATCCATAGATACTTATTTTAGATTTTATTATTATTACTATTTTTTTTTGAGACAGAGTCTGGCCCTGTATTTTAGATTTTAAAAATGTACACTTGCAGCCAGGCACCATGGTTCACCTGTAATCCCAGCACTTTGGGAGGCCAAGGTGGGTGGATCACTTGACGTCAGGAGTTCAAGACCAGCCTGGCCAACATGGTGAAACCCCATCTCTACAAAAATTAGCTGGGCGTGGTGGCTGGCGTCTGTAATCCCAGCTACTCTGGAGGCTGAGGCAGGAGAATCGTTTGAACCTAGGAGGGGAGGTTGTAGTGAGCCGAGATCACACCACTGCACTGCCTGGGCGAAAGAGCAAGACTGTCTTAAGAAAAAAGTGCACGTTTTAATTCTCCAAAGTTGTTTACACTTTCCCAAATAGACCTTAAATCAGCTCTGTTTAATACTCATGCCTCATTAATGCACTTTTAATGAACTTTGAATTATAAAAGCAGCGTATGCTTGGTACAGAATTTTTTTTTTTTTTTTTTTTTTTTGAGACGGAATCTCGCTCTGTTGCCCAGGCTGGAGTGCAGTGGCGCGATCTCGGCTCACTGCAAGCTCTGCCTCCCAGGTTCACGCCATTCTCCTGCCTCAGCCTCCCAAGTAGCTGGGACTACAGGCGCCCACTCCCACGCCCGGCTAATTTTTTGTATTTTTAGTAGAGACGGGTTTCACCTTGTTAGACAGGATGGTCTCAATCTCCTGACCTCGTGATCCTCCTGCCTCGGCCTCCCAAAGTGCTGGGATTACAGGCGTGAGCCACCGCGCCCGGCCTGAGAATTTTTTTAACATTCGATAAAAGAAGACAAGTATTCATAATTCCTTTACTCACAGAGAGCTGTTATTTCTGATCCAGTGGTCCCCAAACTGAGGGATGAGTGAGAATTACTCAGGGTGTGTAGGTAGACAGAGATCCTTAGGCTCTGCTTTCAAAGACTTAATTCACTAGGTCTGGGGTAATACCCAAGAATCTGCATTTTTAATAAGCCCCCAGGGTGATTCTGAGGTATATGAGTGGCAGACCATATTGGGAGAAAGAAACTGTGTATTCTATGCATTTTTAAAGTTTTGTGTATGTTTAGATATTTTGTATGTGCTTCTACCTATGTTTGTATATATGTACATTATACACATGTACACATGTATATTTTTACATGTAGGCTGACCTCAACTGTTTTTCTCATTTAGCATATATGAGCATTTCCCCACGGCATTAAGTGTTCTCTGAAAGCATGAATTTAATGATTTTCTATTATTGCATTCTGTAGATACAGTATCATTTAACCATTTTTTTTATTTGGAGGCAGTGAGATTGTTTTCCATTATTATAAATAATACTGTCACGAATAGTCTTATGCATAAATCTTTATCTCTGAGTATTTC